TTGTACCAATGTCTTGTGTGTCGCTAATGGAGTTTAATAAAGCACATAAAGCACAACATTTGCTCAAGTTCTAAAACCTGCTTTGGTTGGGGGCAAGAGAACATGAACTTTGTTAGTGAGGAAAAAGAAGAGCACAGCCAAAAGTGAACATACAGCATAGAGACCAAACAACAACAATAACAAATTATATATACATCTCAGATAATATATCACATGAAAATACAAGCTTGGCACAAAAATACCATATAGCTAATGATACATTAAAATTAATACAATTCAAACATTGTTTAAAAGAATTAACAAACATACAAGTATCAAGCAATCACAATCACATTTGAATACATCTCACATTATGTATCACAGATAAACAATTACATAATGACAAGATACTAGAGAAGTAACAAAGCAAATGCATAATGTTCACCTTCGGACATGGTCTGCCCAGTGTTAATTTTTACTCAAACACATTCACATACATGTACTATGAGTATATGGTGACAGGAGCAGAGCAGACCGTGAAATTGCAACATTATGTAACCCAACACCAGTTACCATGGTGACAGACATCAACAAATCATGTCATTGGCCAGGTCAGAGGTTTATTAAGTGTTTGGAACAGAAGAGGAAGAAACTAAATAAAAACAATATGTTTTCCTTTGGTAAACATAAATATGCAACTCATGTGGACAGAACATTCATAAAGATACAAGTTTGGCACGAAAATACCACAACCAGTGACACATGGAAAAATATAATGTAGTCTCAAACACTGGTTAAAAGAATTCAGAAACACAATATCATGTATCACACTCATATTAACAGAATGGGAAATGATATAAATGGATCAGTGTCAGCTGTGTTATTATAATATCAATGGATACAGTATATCTGAGGTACTCAATAAAACAGTCATGTTACAACAAACATGAAACCACTGCTGTACATGTGATTCTGAAAGTCACACAATACATTTTTACAACAGAGTGGTTCAATGCAAGGCCTATACGACCATTTCTCGGCATTGAACTAGAAATATGAGAGAAACATGGCTATGTCAAGAGATGGCGGTGAATGTTTGATTTGAAAGCCTGTAGATTGTAGGAAAACACTTGTCAGGGAGGGAATTCCAAAGCTTGGCCGTACGGGGAAAGAAACTGTCACTGTACAACTGTCACATGATTGGAGAACAGACAAGCATAAGACATCATGCATAAGAGAAGATAAAATAAGAAAAGTTCAAGTAACACTAAGTAAGAATTGTCAGACTTTACCCATTGGTGCATTCACTTCAAACTTGAAACATTCATTTAATTTCATATAAAACACAACAATGAACAAGTAAAATCTAAGGTTTTATATCTCCGGGCGTTTTATTGTATATTTTTATATAGGGTTTTAAACAAAGAATTTATCGAGACCGGACACCCCTGTGTGTGGGGTCATATACGTGGACCAGACCGAGAATAGCTTAAACACGCCAAAGGTCAACGGTCGCGACCACTTTCACGCTCAAATGGTTGTTTTGGGGCCACCAAAAGGCACCATTTTCACGCCCGAAAACACATATACAATAAAAACAAAAGAACGTGCATCATCTGCAGCCCAATAGCAAAACACACCGAATCTCAAAAGAATCTGTCCACCCAAACGCGAGAAACAGCTGCGAACATGAAAATCTAAATCTCTCACAAAACCCTTCCGCGGAAGGATATCTCCTCCCCCGGAGGTAATTACTAGTAGTTTAACTGTGGGTGAATAAATATCATATATAGCGCATGATTAAACAATGCACAGCCAGGCAACAATGAAACATTCAAGCACTACATCTAACACATAACTTACAAAGAACACACATAGAGTTCTTAAGTCAACCCATGCAAAAATGCACTTTGGATTCATCAATAAAATAAAGAGCAAGGCAAAGTGATGTGGAAGACAGACATACATTGTAACTAGAGAAGTAACATTTGCAAGGCAAATGCATAATGTTTACCTTCGGACATGGTCTGCTCTGTTAATTCTTACTCAAGGTCAAACACATTCACATGCATGTACTACTAGTATATGGTGGCAGGAGCAGAGCAGACCATGAAATTGCAACATTATGTAACCCAACACCAGTCACCATGGTGATAGACATCAACAAATCATGTCATTGGTCAGGTCAGAGGTCACTGTTTGGAGAAGAAGAAGAAACTGAGCAAAAACAATTATGTTTACTATAATTCTTTTCAACATCAGTCACACATTCGAAATACACCTTCAATCAACACCTCTTTGCTAAAACCTAAGAATCGACCCACTTTTATACTATATATAATAGTGACCCTTTATAATTATATTTAAGTTTTAATACCTACCTTTTAGTCTTACCCTTTGTGTGCCTTGCAAGACTACTACATCTTCCCTTTTTAACTGTAAAAATACACGCACGTATTTCAGTGCAAAACCTGGAACAGAATTGGAAATACAACTTCGACATTGTACAGAAACCTTTGACATGATACTTCAGGGCTCGAAATTCATTTTTTGGAATAGGTGCACTGGTGCACCCAATCTAAAAAATTAGGCCTAGGTGCACAAAAAATTTATTGGGTGCACCAAATAAAACAAAACATAATTACAGATCTTACTGCTCCTCTTCTGAGCTTGAATCTGAAATGGGGGCTAACTTCAAAATCTTATTTTTAGATTTTATAATTATTTTTTACACTTATATGCCAAGGATATCCTGCATAATATCATACATTTGATATGTACAAAAATACCTACAAAAATATTTGGGTGCACATGCACCCAGTATTTCGAGCCCTGTACTTAAATAGTAAATACACCTTGTCACCTCAATACCTGGCCAAATTGACACTGTCTTTGCAGCCACCAAAAAGATCTGCTTGGAGATTATCTCTGAGCACTACGAAATGTATGTATCATTGGAATGGCCTGGATATGAACTATTGCTGCGTAACAACTCTGTTACCGCCCCCCTCCCCCAAAAAATTATCGAACTTTCTTACCACGGTCTCCCTCCTCTCCTGCTAATATCTATCACCTTGTTCAAGTCATCTTCTTCAAAACTACACGATTGTGTATCCGTCACCAGTTGCTGGTCTGGAACATCATTTTTTTCAAGCAAAACGCGTCGAATTCCATCAAAACACACGGGAATATTTTTCAACACACTTTCAAACGAAGGTTTCCAGGTCAGGGGTCAAATTCTTTGGACCACACAACAGCGCCCCCAGCGGCTGAATGACTAAGTGCAACATTGAACTCCAACAACAGATACCGCAAGTTATTGTCGAAATTCTACGTTTTTGCTTCATTTCACTTCACGGAGGCTTATCTACAATAGTCCGGAGAGTATCTAAGACAATGTAAAGTGCAACTTACCACCCAAAGCGGACGTGGGGCGTCTTCCTGGGCGGAATTTTTCAAGAGTAATTTCTTCGCTGCCACATGTTCACTCGCCATCTAGCCGCGGCGACTCTTGACTCGGGCTTACATTGCATTACCCTCAG